TCCAAGAGCAGGTCCATGACCTGAGGGTCTTCCTAGCCTTCCAGGACCTGCTAACAGTGGGGGGCAGCTGTGCCAAATGGGGCTTTGCCCAGATTTGGCTGGTACTCCTGTGGTCATCACCAACTTCGGAACTCCTGCAAAGCATTCTAAAGCCAGCCGCATCGTCCCTCAGCCCAATGGTTTGGTGACACTTTGGTTGGTCCAGAGCAGAGCAGTCCACAGGGCTGAATGTGGGAGGAGGTGCTGCTCCATCACAATCGCTAGTTGTGGAACAGCTTTTTTTCTGGAAGGCCCACCTGCCCCAACCCTGTTGGCCTCCCAGAAACAGGAACAAGCATGGCCAATTCCTAGGGCTTTGCCTTTGTTTGGAAGATGGGGCGGGTTTACGACGGCGCCTGCAGGGGCAGCGGCTGCCACCTGGGTCCCCAGCTTTCTTTTTTTACTGCCAGGATGTGGATGACCGCTGGAGCCTGCAGTTTCCCCAGCTGTACGTCCCCGGCCAGCAGAACCTGTACTTCAACAAGAAGGAGTTTGCCAAATGCATCCTCTACAGCATATACAGCTCCCTGGTGCTTTTCTTGGTCCCTTACGGAACCATTTTTGATTCCGTGCGGAGCGACGGGAGGGACGTGGCTGATTATCAATCCTTCGCCCTCATGGTGCAGACCTGTCTGCTCATCGTGGTGTCGGTCCAGGTAGGGGGCTCCGTGTGGCCAACTGCTCCAGTTCTGTGGGGGGCCCCCCCAGGCTCTTTCTCCTGAGGATGTGTCCAAATCCTGACGTCAGGGTTTAGCATCAGCATCCCCCCAGCCCACTCAGCTCGTGAGTTAAGCAAAAGCAGGCGTACAGTTTTACTGGCAGCACCCAGCCTTGTTGGCTTGCGTTAATCCTCAGTTTACCATTAAGCTGCACAAAGGGTGGGGGTTCAAGTCTGGGAAAGCTGGTCCACCAAAACAACAGAAACCTAGCAAGGAAGCCAAGCCCCCATTGCCCCCCAGCAGCCCAAGGGGAGCAGCTCAGCTGAAGAAGGGAGTGCTGAGGCTCCGGTGTGCATGAGGCATCTGAGTGCGGCTGGATCCTGTGGCTGCTGCCTGGAGGGGCTTCCAGGGCATGTGGCTTTACTTGGCCAGGCTGGCAGATCCAGCATTCCCCAGTTCATGGAAGGGGTTGGGGTCCTGTTCAGGGAGACAGAGCAGCTGCTGCTCCCACTGCTACGTGAGCCAGGCTGTCTTTTGCAGATGGGCTTGGACACGGCCTACTGGACGGCCGTGAACCAGCTCTTCCTCTGGGGCAGCCTGGCCATCTACTTCATCATCACCTTCACCTTGTACAGCGACGGCACCTACCAGATGTTCACCTCCTCCTTCCCCTTTGTCGGTATGTTCAGAAGCTGCAAATAAAATCCCCTTTAATGTCAAATAGGTCCTTCCCATCCCTGGAGGAAGCTGCTCTCCCCAGGGGGCTTTGCCTCAGGATCACCACAGTGGGGGAGGGGAGCGCCTACGTCAGTGGTGGCGAACCTATGGCATGGGTGCCAGAGGCGGCACTCTGAGCCCTCTCTGTGGGCACACGTGCTGTTACCCCAGCCTTGCCTCCCCCCGTGACCCCGTCACCAGTAGCCCTCCTGGAGGAGAGTTGCCCCCGAGCGTGGCCCACGTGGAGCAGTACAGCCAAGGACATGGCAGCCAGGCAGCGTAGACAAGACTCTGCCCTCACGCCCATCGTGCACAGTTGATGCTGCAGGGCGCGGGCAGAGGGCGTGGCTGCCATGGCGCTACTGGGCAATCGGCGGGCCCTGGAGGCGATGAGTGGCCCTGCGGGCAGGTGGGGTGGGGGCGGAGCGGGAGTGGAGCGGGGGGCAGGGCCAGTTTTTGGGCACCTGGTCTCTAAAAGGTTCGCCATCCCTGGCCTATGTTGTTCCCAGGGTTGGCTGAAGAAATCGGTTGCCTGCATTCGCTTTGAACCACGGACAAAGCAAGGGCACCTCAGCCTAACAGGGCAACTGCAACTGGGGCTGTTTCATCTCTTCCCCTCTCAGGCACCGCCCGGAACAACCTCAACCAGCCCAAGGTGTGGCTCTCCATTTGCCTCTGCATGAGTCTCTGCGTCCTGCCGGTCGTCGGCTTCCGGTTCCTGAAGATGCAGCTCATGCCGACCCTCAGCGATCAGGTACTCCTCGTGGCCCAGAATTTGGGTAGCTGTTGGGCCCCAGGGCAGGCCCTTTCTTCCCCTTGGCCTGGGGCCGTAGGCCACTGCCACCCGTCCCGTGCTGAGGCCGCTCCGAGATTTGCAGCCGGGAGCAGTGCCTGGATGACCACCGTCGTGCAGAATGTGGGCAGGAAAAAGGAAGCTCTTCTTAAAAAGGGGTGCCAGCACCGTGCTCGGTGATGGAGGAATGCCCCTTTCTGCCAAACTGCGTCCTACAGCAGACATGTCAAACACAAGGCCCAGAGGCTGGATGCGGCCCGTGAAGTGGTTTCATGTGGCCCTCGAAGCCATCCTGGAAACAGTGAGGGAACGGCCCCCGCTGCCTTGGCCCTGGCCCAGGCCAGCCTGGAGCCAATGAACAATTTTGTGGTGGCCCTCTATGCTGAAACGCATTCAGTCTTAACTCCACAAGGCCGTCTGGAAACAGCGAGGAACCAGCCCCTGCCGCGTCGGACCCGCCCCCTGGGTGCATGCTGGGGAAGTGTCACTCTTTGTGAGGAATGAAGAAATGGACCGTGCCTTGGCGCTTGCCCTCGTCCCACCCCCTTCTGCCAGAGACCCTCAGATCTGTCCCACTCCTGCCCAGGCCCCCACAGGCACCCTTGACGCGAATGATGTAGAGCTGGCCATGCCCCCCCAGTAGGCCACACCCACTCCATCCACGCCCACCCAGTAGGCCACACCCACTCCATCCACGCGCCCCCAGTAGGCCGCACCCACCCTGGCCACACACCCCCAGCCCTCCCCCAGGGCAACCGCAATGCTGATGCGGCCCTCAATGAAATTGAGTTTGACACCCCTGTCCTACGGCAAGGGCTCTGCCTGCAGATTCTGAGGGAATTTGTTTGCTGAAGTTTTCTCTTTCATTGGAGAGCTGAGGGCAGGATCGCAGCCCTCCCTCCTCCTATTTCCCCCACAACAACTCTTTGGGGTAGCTGGACTGAATGAAAAGGACTGGCCCACGGCTGAGGGGGGCTGGATCCTGGCTCTCCCCACACCCAGCCCCCGCGTGGCTCCAGCCTCTTTGGGGGGGGGGAGCCTGTGGCTCTATACGCAGTGTTTCTCAACCTTGACCATTTTAAGGCATGTGGACTTCAACTCCCAGAATTCCACAGCCAGCATTGCTGGCTGTGGAATTCTGGGAGTTGAAGTCCACATGCCTTAAAATGGTCAAGGTTGAGAAACACTGCTCTATAGGCCTGTCTTGCAAAAGGAACTGAGCAACCTTGGTTGAAAGAGGGTGTGTGGGGGGGTACGGGGACGGGATGGGGGGGTGGGTTTTCTGCCCCCGCCCCCCGGCCACCGTGCTTGACTTGCAGAGTGATCATCAGGAGGCTCCTTAAGTTGTCTTGAAGCAACTGCAGTGACTATCATGTGGTCATGCTGCCCCCTAGCAATCATGTGGGGTACTTCACCAGCCCTGACAGGCAGAGCTGGTTCTGTGGATCCAGAGGTCTTTCTGGTACTGCTGAGTTCTTAGAACAGTGGTTCTCAACCTGTGGGTCGGGACCCCATTTGGGGTCGATCGACCATTTCATGGGGGTCGCCAAGCAAGGCTGTCCGCCATTTTTTTCCCCTTTTCCGGCGGGTGCCTTACCTCCCTTGGGCTGGGCCAGCTGGTGGTCGGCCTGCTCCGTCTCTGCCGCTTGCCAGCTATGCCTCGGCCAGCGCAGGGGGCGGAACCACGCATGCGCGGCGCTCCCGGGCAGGGAAAGTCCTCGACTTACGACCGGTTGGGTAGTCCTCGACTTACGACCGGTTTAGTCCTCGACTTACGACCGGTTGGAGTCACGGCATTAAAAAGGTTGAGAACCACTGTCTTAGAAGCTGGGAAGAGTTGTCCGGCACCAAGATCCAGAGCAGAACTGCCGTACCTGAGGCCCAGGTACTCGGGGCAGGCTGCCCTCGCTCTCTCACTCCCGGTGCACCCAAACGCTTTTCAGCCAGGGGAGCTGAAGGCTCAACGGGGTGAGGGTGGGGGAGCCCCAGGTTCTCCTCAAAGGTCAGGCGCATCCCTGAGTTAAAGCGCGTTATGGACTTGGTTATTTAAATAGTTGGTTAATGTTAGCTAGATTATGATTATTATATTTGTAACCCTGTGTTCAGCTCTGGGAAGTGGGGGAGAGGGAGGGGGGGTTTGGGGGTGGGCATGGGGGTTTATATTGTAATTTTTATAAAACTTTTAATAATAATAATAATAATAATAATAATAATAATAATAATAATAATAATAATAATAATAATAAAAAAGGTCAGGCGCATCCCATCAGCAGGACAGGTGGGGCGTGGAGTGATAGCAGGCCTTAGCTCCAGAACTTTGGGAGGGGGGGGGGAGGAAACAAGGGAAACAAAAGAAAAGAAGTGAAATCCCAGCCCCCTACAAGGATGAAACCAGGATGGCTTCAGGAAGAGAGAGAACCAGTATGGAAAAACTAGGAAACTTCTCTCCCTACCCCAAATGAAGGGAAAGTGGTGAAACTGCTCAAACTCTGTTCAAGGGAGAGCCAGGGAAGGACCTGGAGTGTGATGGGGATGTATAGCCTCCTCCTACCGACCGTAGGGCAGGTGACACAATTGGGGGGGGTGCCACCCACTGTGCCTCCATCAGCTGGGTGCCACTCAGAAGCTTGGCGGTGTGTGTGTGAGAGAGGTTCAAAAGAGACCCAAATGTGCAGGGGAGTTAAGCGTGTGTATCCTCCCAAATACCCCCCCTCCCACCATCATCCCACCCACCCCCGCCGTCTCAGCTGGACTCTTCTCTGCCCTAGGTGGTGCGCAAAGTGAAGCAGCTCCGCAAAGCGCCCGGCCCGCCCGCCCTGAAGCACTACCTGCAGCGCAGCGCCTCCCGTCGCTCCGGCTATGCCTTCTCGCACCAGCAGGGCTTCGGGGACCTCATCACCTCTGGCCGGAACATGCGCCTCAAGGCCCCCCCGGCCGGCTTGATCTCTTCATCGCCCTACGCCCAGAGGTACCGTCCGCGCTTGGAGAAGACAGAGGCGGGCGCTTCCTAGCCCCTCCAGCAGGCGACCTTAGTGCCGCTGTGGGGGGTGGTTGGTGGGGCCGGAGGGACCCTTGCTTTCTCCTGCGGAGATGGGACTTTGCCGGCGCGGAGCACTACGGACAGCGAACGGGGGCAGGGGGCAGTTCAGACCAGACACGGCCCCCTCCCCGAGACCCGGCAGAAAGAGCAGGCAGGGGGAGAGAGAGCCGCTCTCCCACAAGGGCCAGGCTGGCGAGAGGGCTTCTAGCAGGCTCAGGGCGACAGACCGCTTCGCAGTTCCCAGGATTCGACCTCGGCACAAGCTCATCTCCGGCTGATCCGCCGCTGCTTCTGAATGCTTCCCGCGCAGAGGAGGGGGGCTGAAAGGGGCCCTGCCTGGGTAGAGACCCCCGAGGAAGGCCAGGGCGGTGGGGAGGTCTTCCCCCTCTCCAGCCCAGGAGAACGGGGGGGGGTTAGCGTTGCGCACGCTGCCTGAAGAAAGATGCCACCTGGCGGAGAGTCTGGACCCAAGCGGAGGAGGGGGTTCAGGTCCAGCAAAGGCCTGGCTCAGGAAGATGGAAGCCCCAGAACAAGCTTGGAGGGGCCCCGCAACTGTTCTGGATGCATCACCTGCTGGTCAAGTGGGGAAGGAACCCTGGGACACCCCTTTTTCCCGACTCCTGGGCTGGATGCGCTACTTTCCACCAAGAGCCTTGGTGGGGGGCAAGGTAGAAAGAGAGGCACCCGTCACCGGCCCGGAGGCTGCCTCCTGAGATTTGCTCACCTAGTCTGCAGGAGATGCTGGGCCTGCTGAGTGGTCTGTCCTGCTGGTCCTACACAGGCTGTGACCCACGGCGCATCTGGGCTGTGGGGCCAGAGTTGGCGGCTTGAACTTCGGGGCCTCAACACTGGGTCAAACTGGAGGCCGGAAATGCTGTTGGCAACCAGCAGGTCACTCTTGCGGGGCTTTGGCATCTTTACACCCTAGAAGGTTGAGGGCCATAACGGGGAGGGGTGTGCTGGTAAAGGAGCCCCTCCCAGCCAGCCCCCCTGACACAAATTCTGGGATGCAGGAGATAGGAATACATTGGCCCAAAGTTGACTGCAGAATTGGGGTGGGTGAGTGGGCTTGGGGACTGGCCCTTCTTCTATAATGGAGCAAGGATGGACAGGCAGGACGGCTGGCTGGACAGGGATGGGGTAGAACAGATTTATTCATCTTCTGGGCCAAAGATGCCTGCTGGAAGAAGCTACTCAGTCAGTCCCCTCCCTCCCCCACCCACTGCTGGGATGGTCAAGCATCCATCGCTTCCAGCCAAGGTCTCCAGCCTCCCATGGTTTTTAGTTGACCAGGCCACAAAGCTCTACTGCCCAGGCCACTCGGAGGGCAGGCACCCTACCTAGTGCCCTCCCTTTGGGAGGGCATCCCTGGGGGGGGGGGATGCTGTGAGGTGGAAGCTTGCTGGAAAATTTGTCCCACAATGTTCCCCTGCTAAGGTACCTTTTTTTCCGCAAGCATTTCTGTTTAATTCTAAGAACAGTATTGCTTCATCCAAAATTATTGCATAAGACGGTTATGGAAATTACGCTCAGCCAGGATTAGGGAACGGAAGGGATATTATGCCAGTCAAATCTAAATCCAGTGTTGTAACTTTTTTTACACCCATATGTTTATGCACACAGCAATTGAGGCTTGCTGAGGGTAATATATTTATAATGTTGAGCTTTTAAAAAAAATAAATAATATAAGGGAAGTCTCTATTATTTATTGGTCACATCTCCAAATAATTGCAAGCACTCTCGTCTTTTGATGTGTTTGAAAATAAAATAAAACCATCCAACCACCCTTTTCTTCTTCTTCTTCTGCCATATCCGTTATCGGACGTTGGCGATCATGTTGGCGATCCTGTTTTTATCAGCAGCCGCACGAAAAAGTGCTGCTGAGTTTTGTCCAAACCAGTCCCTTAGATTTTGAAGCCACGATGTTCTTCTTCTGCCTGGACCTGGTTTGCCTTCCATCTTTCCCTGGAGGATTAAATGGAGTATGCCCTATTTTTCTGGGTGTCGCATCACATGTCCGAAATATTCTAATTTTCGCTTTTTAATTGTTTTGATGATTTCCCTTGGCTTTCCCAGGCGGCTTATCACCTCCTCATTTCTGATCTTGTCAACCCAGTTTATGCAGAACAGCCGCCTGTAAATCCACATTTCAAATGCTTCTAGTCTCTTCAGGTGGCCTTCTGTCAGAGACCCACTCTCTACTCCATAGAGCAGGATAGACAAAATATAGCATCTGACAAGCCTGATTTTCAGTCTTAGGCTTATGTCGTGACTGCAGAAGACCTTTTTCATTTTGAAGAATGCTGTTCGAGCTTTTTCTATCCTTGTCTTTACTTCAACGGTCATGACCCTCTGCATGTTTCTATTCCAAAGTAGATCCTGGAGTCTCTGAAGGCAAAACCTGCTTCTGAGGAACTGCATAATTTGTTGCTCTTAAGTGCAACAAAGTCCCCCCCCCCTAATTATTTTTATTCCGCTACTCTTAGCCATGGGGGGGGGGGAATCAGCTATTTGTGGAGCAGCAAAACTGACCCGGCATGCAGTTAAAGCTTTGCTGGCTGAAGACACCCAGACGGGGCAGTGGAGAATTCATGCTTTGGGGAACAGCTGCAGCTGCTTCTCCGTCTCATTCATTCGCACGGCAGGAGCCCCTGAGCAATGCTAGGACTGGGGGGTCCCAAAGGGTCAGTCTCACACCAGCCCTGGGAGTCGAGAACGGCTCGGAGACGGGCAGCATCTTAGCCTGGGGACTGAAGCAACCCCTTTCCTGGTTGGTAGAACTTGTGGAGCCACTAAGCACTCCGAGGAATCCCCGAGAAGGCGACCAAGAGGGGAAAGTAGCCAGACTTCACCTGGTGCCTTGTGCAAACTTTCCCGTTCCAGTTTGGGAAGAAGGAGGAGGCTGCGGTCCAGATGCCTCTCCTAGGGCTGGTATGCTACAGCTGAAGCATTCCCTTGCTTTATTCATTTAGAACCCCCCCTCAAAAAAGCAATTAATAATAATAATAATAATGTTGGAAGGGACCTTGGAGGTCATCGAGTCCAACCCCCTGCTCAGGCAGGAAACCCTATACCATTTCGGACAAATGGCTGTCCAGTTTCTTCTTAAAAACTTCCAGTGTTGGAGCATTCACCGCTTCTGGAGGCAGGTTGTTCCACTGGTTAATTGTTCTAACTGTCAGGAAGTTTCTCCTTAGTTCTAGGTTGCTTCTCTCTTTGGTTAGTTTCCATCTGTTGCTTCTTCTCCTGCCTTCAGGCGCCTTGGAGAATAGCTTGACTCCCTCTTCTTTGGGGCAGCCCCTGAGATACTGGAACTCTGCTATCATGTCCCCCCTCGTCCTTCTCTTCGTTAAACTAGACATACCCAATTCCAGCAACCGTTCCTTATACGCTTTAGCCTCCAGTCCCCTAGATTAGATTTGTCTGTTTACTTTCACAAAGCCTGGATGGTTCTTCGTATTCACCTTCTTCCTTTCTGGGTGCCTGCAGACCAACCGTTTGATAGGCTGTTCTAGGATTTTTCCCGGTACGGCTGTCAAGCTCTTAGCCTTCATGTCCTTCCTTTTCCTTGACTCTGCCCTGAACTCTTGAGAAAAGAGATGCTGCCTCGCAACAGCTCGACCGAGAGTTGGTTTGGCCCTCCCAAAACAATAAAGAGATGGGCAGGACTTAAGCATGACACCTTTCTTACCGGGTGGGACTGCAATCCCCAGATGACACCATAATGAACAAGTCAGACATGAAGATGCCACCTCACTTTTTGGCAATTTTTTTTTGTTAGGGAAAAGGGTCTTCCCCAGATTTGCCAGCCGTCTCTGGTTTTCCAAACAGATGCCAAGCTCAGCAATGCTTGTCTCTCAAAGGAAGATATGATTTGGTTCAGACCTTGTACTTCAGACAAGCATGGCTTGCTCCATAAACCACATCTGGCCAGGTTTCTACTAAGACAAGCCAGGAATTGGAGCAGAATAACAAAATAACAGAATAACAGAGTTGGAAGGGACTTTGGAGGTCTTCCAGTCCAACCCCTTGCTCAAGCAAGAGACTCTATACCAGTGGTTCTCAACCTTTTTAATGCCGCGACCCCAACCGGTCGTAAGTCGAGGACTAAACCGGTCGTAAGTCGAGGACTACCCAACCGGTCATAAGTCGAGGACTTTCCCTGCCCGGGAGCACCGCACATGCGTGGTTCCGCCCCCTGCGCCAGCCGAGGCGTAGCTGGCAAGCGGCAGAGACGGAGCAGGCCAACCACCAGCTGGCCCAGCCCATGGGAGGTAAGGCACCCGCCGGAAAAGGGGGAAAAAAATAGCGGGGGAAAAAAATGGCGGACAAAAAAATGGCGGACAGACTTGCTTGGCGACCCCCGTGAAATGGTCGATCGACCCCAAATGGAGTCCCGACCCACAGGTTGAGAACCACTGCTCTATACTGTTCTGGACAAATAGTTGCCAATCTCTTCTTAAAAGCCTCCAGTGATGGAGCACCCACTTCTGGAGGCAGGTTGTTCCACTGGTTAATTGTTCTCACTGCCAGGAAATGTCTGCTTAGTTCTAGGTTGATTCTCTCCTTGATTAGTTTCCAACCCTTGCTTCTTGTCCTGCCTTCAGGCGCTTTGGAGTTGAGTGCTCTGCGCCACCTCAAGTTGCATGTGTATTTGGGGGAGCATTTGCACACGTCTGTCCCATTTACCACTCATTCCGGCAGAGCCACTAAGGCTACAGAGACTGACCCTTAGCCCAAAGGAGATGTTTCTCCCACCCTATTTCTGCAGAGCCCACCACCCCAGAGAACCCCAGCTGGGCAGCAAGGAGGGTCAGGCTGTGCTGCCCCTCCTGTGTTTTAAAAGCCAGGGTGCCCTGGTCCCTTTAAATGCCCTGCCAGGACTTGCTTTGTGCTCCTTTAAAAAAAAAAAATCCGGTGGCTTTTTAATCAGCTGACAAAGTTTAGGCTGGTGGTTTTTTTTCCTGAGGG